GGCGGCTGGCTGTTTCGTGGGCGATGGCGGCTTCCTCGTCGATGGCTGCCGGGCTGCAGTGGGGACGTGACGGGTAGCAGATGGCGGCTTCTGTAAAGCGCAGCCCGCGAGATTCGAAAACGGCCAGTTTCAAAGTGCTGGCCCTGCCTCCCGCCACCCCTAATGAGTCTGCTGCAGACTGTGGTGGGTCCCGCCTTCAACGAATGTCCGGTAGGCCGAGAACACTCACAAAAATCGGCCCACTATTTTTCCGGGGCGGCCGAGGACCCCAAAAATGTCCTTGGCGGCCCCTTCTTTTATTTTGATTTTTTACTGGGGGGGGCGGTTCCGGACGTCCAGTACCGGACACCGGACCCCTACAAAATGTTTGGGGGTGTCTGGAAACCGGTCCGGAGGTCCGGGCGGTAACCATGCTTTAAACCCCCTTTAAAAAAAAAAAGAAAAAAAAAAGAAAACAGGGACAATGCTCCGATCTATTCATGGGGAGCAACACAACATCGGGCCCAGCGTCCCTCACCCAACTGCAGAACACAATTTGCGAAAGGGTTTAAACCCTAAACCCTAAACCCGCAATCCTGAAGAGTCCAGGGTGCAAAAAACAGACCTCTTTCACACATGATATCCCGTTTCTCATCGTTCGATTGTGTGGATGATCTGGACAATGAGAAGGTGCACTGACAAGTTACATTCCAGGGAACTTCAGGTTTCTTCCTAATCACCACACACGAAAAGAAATTCAATTCCTATGAGATAAGCCTGCATGTCTTGTCTTGCGGCAAATTATCTTCACCCACACGCGCATGATTCGATTAAACATTTGATGGTTCATCAACCTCAAAAGCTTGAGAATGTCAGAAACACCCTGATCTGCAAAGTTCATGAGCGAAGTACCATAGCAACATCCAGAAAACACAAGAAGAAGAAGAAGAAGAAGAAGAAGAAGAAGAAGAAGAAGAAGAAGAAGAAGAAGAACAACAACAACAACAACAACAACAACAACAACAACAACAATAACAATGACAACGAAGGCGACCACCCACCACCACCAACAACAACAACGCCAACGCCAACGCCAACACCACCACCAACACCAACGCCAACAACGATGACAACGATGACAATGATGATGATGATGATGATGATGATGATGATGATGATGATGATGATGATGATGGCGATCCAATAATACCAAGGAGAAGAATAAAATAACAATAATACCAATATGGTAAAAGTTTTACTAAAAACTGAAAACAGAACAAAAACGGCCATACCTTCAGGAAGACCACCCAGAGCCCTTGAATCGTGAAAAGGATGAGCAAAATTACAAGCTGTTCAGTTCAAGTTGAAGACAAGGCAACCAATAACATTTCCTGTATCAGCAACAGATGAAGCAAACTACCCTGCAGCCTCCACATAATGGGCCTCCATTGTTTGCCACATCATACCCTCTGACAATAATAGTTTTTTTTTTTTTTTTTTTTTTTTTTTTTTTTTTTTTTTATGACAGTAGTTTTCGGTTTTCAGCTTTTCGAGTTCGTACTATTGCATACCTCACCATGTGACAATGCAGAGGTGTGTACCCTTCAGTTAAACCACCAGTCCGTTCAAGCCTGAGCCTGAGCCTGCGCCTTTCCAATATTTTTGTCCAATTTGGCATGTGGTTTACCCGCTTGATCACAAAATCCAGATCTACTCAGGTTTTTTATTATATCAGAGATAGGTGCTTCCATTGTAATATTGGTTTTTCCAAGACTGATAAGTCTAGACAAGAATTTCACTTTATCGCCAAGCTCTATCTCCGAGGATATTCTCAAATTAATTTGCCGTGTCAGACGAGTAATCTCTGACCTTATTACTTCACTATATGCGGGAAACTCCTAACCTATTTATTGAATGAATTTCAATATGCAATGGATAATCTGCAGGAAACTAACATATGTCTATGTAGGATACTCAGAGACTATACGTGAAGAGTCCGAACAGAAAACAGAGTCAATTCACATTCTGTACTATGATATCAATCAACACTGATCATTTACAGTTACAATGGTTAGCAGGATTGATTCTGTGATGCAGAACCCAAAGAGTGGAGATCAAGGTCAGCGACCTTTCAATGCTGGTCCTGGCCAGTGGGTACTTTGATTCATAATATTGAATGGAATCCAGGCCAAGGTGCCAAATTAGTTTGGGCTGCAGGGACTTTTGCTCAATTGATTCAAAAACATGAGGCATTTTCGTTTTATTATGCGCCTAACGTATTGGGACATCCTGACAATTATATACCTGCAATGCAACAATACACGCGCAGTGCAGTGCGTCGGTGATCTGGTTGTGTACACAGTCAGCAGACGGGAAGGAGGAAGGAGACACAGATTTTTGCTGTGCACCAATTCCTCCCGAACTGGTGAGTTGCTCAATTCGCCTGGCGGTGCCAGCCTTCTATGTCCGGACGGTAGACCTGTGACCTGTTAACCCGCCATTTTTTTGGTTTAGGGTTAACCGTCACGTCAGAACAAATAGCCCGGAAATGAACTGGTGGCTGTCCGGACGGTAGACCTGTGACCTGTTAACCCGTCATTTTTTTGGTTTAGGGTTAACCGCCACGTCAGAACAAATAGCCCGGAAATGAACTGGTGGCTTGACAACCATCCTTATCGCGGTGTCTCATGCATGTCTCATGCATGCATGCGGCTAGGACATGCCTCTGTTGTGCCGTCCTATCATCTCAGGAAGCCGTACCCAGCAGACCGCCCTTGCAGACAGATTAGAGCAAACTTTCTTTCTCTTTTCAAAGAAAAAAAGAGCAATTTTCCAAGATGAGATGAGAGGAAGAAGAGACTTAAAGCCACCACTACCTCAGAGCCCCGTTTTGCCGACGTGGAAACGAACTGCGTGCCTGTCTACACTGGCCAGCCTCGGTATTTTCTCACTCTAAACTAGATCTAGGATAATACAGAATAATATTCAATTAGTAATTACTTATGTTAATAGAATATGTGTATATAGTATTTACTATTTATTGAATTTTATTCTAAAGACCCTTGTAATCTGTAGATTCTTTACCCTCCTACCAAGACCGGCCACAGGGGGGGCAAGCCAACCATCTCAGCCGGTAAACACCACGCCTACCAGACCATTGTAATCTGTAGATTCTGTACCCAATACACTTCTTGAGAGCCTGTCGCTCTATTGACACCATAGCCCATGACCTATTCTGCTCTTTTATGACTTTCTCAGTGAATTCCCTTGCATCACTGTCATGAAACATGAAGGCGTGGTCGCACAGTGGCGTTCAAATGCCTACACATGCGGTGACTACAGTCTTCCCCTGAGTTAGTGGCCCCCAATACAGGCATATTTGACCGTGCGTTCTATTCGCCCGAAAAGGTACTCTTGAGGAAGTGTTTAACCCCCCAGTACACGGCCCCAGCTTTGCAGAAAATGTTTCACCGCCTGCTTCGGAATTTTGCGCCTTGGGCCTGCCAGACCACAATGGCTGGCAGCACCAGCCAAAAAAGGAAAAAAGTGCGGCTCTGGCGGGTCGGAAATCTTAACTAGTAACTACAGATTAACATATATATAGCTAAAAACATTTAAAACAAGTAAATTGAAACGTTTTTCACCTTTGCAGCAGCAGACGCAGATCCCAGGGCTTGATCCCTAGACCTTCCCCTCACCCGTGTACAGTACCAAGTCGACCCTGCGTGTTTGAACCCGTGACCAGTGTCTTAGTAGTCGCCTCTTGTCCGTCGTAGGTTAGTGTGGTCATTGGGTCTCGATCCGTAGGTCTGTCGAGTACGGGTCGTAGCTGTGTAGAAGTCGTAGCTGCTACAGTCCTGAAAGGTCAAGGCCGTAGCTGCTTCAGTCCCGAAAGGCCAAGTCTACAGACTTCTGGAAGGTCCGGAAGTGGCCTTTCGAGAATTACTCAGGTTAGGCTAGAGGCAAGTGGGAAAGTGGGTAGTCCAACCTTGTCTAGTCAGCGGTACCCAGTCCCAGTCGCACTTTGTCCAGTCAGCAAGTACCGTGTGGGACTGTGTGCACCCTAGGGCCGGTGGAAAGGAGCAGACCAGCGACCAAGCAAAGTATAAATCAAGAGGCAACGTCCAGTCATTCACTCGTTGAACCTGTGAGCCGTGCGGCAGCGCTGTCTGAGCGACTTGTACAAGGAGGTCTGCATGTGACCGAGGAAGAAGAGGGCAGTGAGGGAGACGAAGCGGCCATAGCCGCTAGTAGCAGGGAGTACAAGGCAAGCCATAGCTGCCGCAGATAGCAGTAGGCTGTAGCGTACCTGTGTGAGTGAGTTGTGTGAAGAGTGTGAGTGTGTGTGAGACATCCAGGGAGATCCAGAGTAGCGTGCGTGTGAACAGTTGCTGGGAATACAGTGCCTGAAGGGCGTTGTGAGGGCACACAGGCGCCATAGCCATTCGAAGCGAGTTTGAATCTGAACTGTGTTCTTGGCCTCCATATCTCTGAGCTTTGTGTGGGCGCCTGCCGCCAGTGTGATTGCCATCTGTTTTCATGCGTGCTGAGTAAGGCAGAAGACGAGTCTGATTTCAAAATACTAAAAACTAGTAAAAACTTAAAAAGTCTATTTCCTGCCATAGGTTTTCTTTTTCTCCTTTTTCTTTTTTTATGTTTTGCATGTTCCTGAACTTCCGGCCATGGGCTTTTTTAGTTACCGTCTTCACCCTAATTATCAATTGAACGCCCGGTCATCATAGCTGTACTCGGAAAACCTTTCAGTCTAGATACAGCGATAATAACCGGGCATTGATAATTTCAATGTATTGGGACCACAAAGCAGTCCAGATGCATCTCATTATCACATCATTATCACAGTGCATGCCCTGGAAAGTTTTACGCCACCACTCTATTGACTGCTGCTGTTCTTGCCACACCTGTAACTCACAGCACGAAGGGCGCCGTACTCACGCCCTTAGGACTTTTTTCAAGTTTTTTTTAACTTTTGGCACACTTATGGATGTAGTTGGCCGTCATCCCGGTCATGTACATCCATGTGTATCCGTAAATGCGGTCTGAAACATGTTATCTGGTGCGAGTACGTCCTAAGATAGATCTGGTGCCAGAACTTTCACCTATCTGATTCGTGGTTGGGAGGCCTTTTGACACATGTTCTAGTGACTTGATAGAGTAATTAAAAAGAAGAGTTCTGCCAGGCATACTATAGTATCTTTTCTTTTCTTCTTCTTCTTCTTCTTCTTCTTCTTCTTCTTCTTCTTCTTCTTCTTCTTCTTTTCCTAATGGCCCGTCCACTCTACTAAAATGCCCTCCCCCCAAACCCGTGCGTCATTGGCTCGTAACTTTGAAATCTTCGAGTAAAAAAAAAGAAAAAATTTCCGAAAAAAAGCTTGCGGAAAGTTTCTCACCTCTGCAGGATCGTTGTCTCTCCCGCTGAATGCTGCTATCAAGATGCCCACCATCATCTGCGAAGAATGGGAACGAAAAACCTAGTCAGATACATTCTGAGTGTTGAAATACAGACCCAACTTCGAACTCCACTGGAAGCAGACGAGTTAAGTAAGAATGGGAACGAAAAATCCAGTAAGATACATTCCGAGTGTTGAAATACAGACCCAAGTTCGAACTCCACTGGTAGCAGATGAGTAAAGTAAGAATGGGAGCAAAAACCCCAGTCAGATACATTCGGAGTGTTGAAATACACCAAGTTCGAACTCCATGGAAGCAGATGAGTTAAGTGCTACTGTTCTGAATTACCTAGGGTTGGTCAGTGCTATGATGACAGCTCAAGGCCGTCGTCCTTTATAAAAAAAAAGAGAATTTGGCACTGATATCTGGATAGATGCAGTCAGAAAACTGCCAGATGCATTCGAACTTCCTCAGGAGAGTTGTATTTGTGACTGCACAACAGCTTTAAGGGTAATCTGGAGTACCAGGCGGCCCTGGGGGGCTGAACAGGCTGTTCTCTTCTTTTATGGTTTCACGGATTCTGTCATGCTTATCTGAAGCCGGGTAATGGCCCCGGTAGGTACTGTCAGTAGTGCTGTAAGAATTTCAGAAGGGAGCCCGATTCCCAGCACGCTCCCCATGAAACAGGTCGGAGCTTTTTTCCTCGGGGGGGGGGGGGGGGGGGGGGAGGAAGCCTTACCACCTAGGCTACCAGAGTGGCCCGGGGCAAAAAAAAAAGAAAAAAAAGAAAAAGGTTAAAAAAGTTGAAAAAACAGATTTGGCAAAGAATTTGGATGCCGGCTCGCGCCTCCCGGTTAGCGCAGAGCAGCGCTAAAAAAAAAAATTCGCGCACATGCCCGCAGCCCAGCCGCGCGCGCGTCCGCGATTCGATTTCTCCAGTTCGAAAAGCGACGGGCACCGCGCCTAGCGCGCCTCGCCCGAACTAGGAACAGTGACAGCACCTACGACAAAACAGCCATAGCTCGACGACAAAGACAACAAAGCCCGGGCGCGCGAGCGCCTAGGCCATCATCACGAGCGGAGAAGAGTGACCTGGGAGAGACCTGAGAGAAACCACGGGAGAAACCACGATCACTCACCTGGCCAAGACCTTGGGGAAGGGGGGACATGCAAAACCGAATTTAGGTTGGTACGAGCTCCCCAACCAAGGAAGACTCGGAGGGCTACTCAAGAGTTATCCTGTCGCATCGACCCTGGCGTTTGTCCGGAAGTGACTACTATACAAGGCATTGGTGACGGCTGCTGGCAAACTCATCGATAGGCCAAGCTACGACCTACTTAAGAAAGAGCAAACATTGAGTGAGATCAAGTCTCACCACTCCCCTCCCCCCCACCACTCCCATTCCCCTGTTTCTTTCTTTCTTCTTTCTTTCTCCACTAACCACCTCTCCATTCTAAGTTTCTAAGTTCGCCCCCCCCTCGTCACATGTTTTGTTCTTTTCTCTAGGTTGGTTCTCATCGCCCGTTCGATGTACCCAGCCCCCCGCTCCAGCTCAACTCCCATTATGCTTTTCTAAGATTCGTCCCCCCCCTCGTCTCGGGTCTCACCTTCCGTTCGACATAMCCAGCCCCCCACTCCCTTTCAACTCCCTCTCGACTGTCTGCACACTCACAGTGCACACACACCCCGCAACCCAAAACGCTCCCCCGACGAACCCTCACCCAGCYGCGTCACCATACATACCAGCCCTCCGTGTCCCTCMCTCAGCATAAACCTGTGTCTCCCTGCTTCACCCCCCCTCCTACTCCTCCCTACTCCCACACTCTCCCGGCAAATCCATCATCCAGACCTACGCACCAATCCCTACCTCGG